AACCTCACTTAGATCAATGGGTTAAATTTCATTGGATTGAATGTTAGGTGGTTTATTAAGAAAGCAGTTCAACTTTATCAGATCAGTTAAAAGAAAGGTGCGGTTTTTACTTCAAGCTATTGAATATTAATTAATAGCTGAACGGTCAGCTCTTTTTAGGCGCGAAGTAGAGGATAGATGTGCGAGATTTCTTACTAAGAGATTAACATGTTCTGCGAGCCTTTTATTGTATTTTTTTCTTATTAGATACATAAAATTAGATAAAAATTAGGTAAATTAGGTGTTACCATTGTGAAAATTTTTTATGATGTTTAATAAATAAATAAATAAATTTGAAAACTTTTAACCAAAAATAATAAGCAAGTGCAATAAGGAAATAAATAAATATTTACATAAGAGCAATAAGTAAATAAATATATATTTACATAAGTGCAATGCAAAAAATCCGTAGAAAATTTCAATTTACTTTACCTCAATTTACTCAAACTCACACACGGCCTATATAATATATTATTATTATATATATTAACGATGACAGTTGTTAGAATAATTTTAAACTTAAATAGAAATTTTGTCAACTATAAGTTGCTGCCTTTTTTCTTAAAAATTTTTAAAATAATTATGATTTTCGATCCCTATTTAATAGTCTTAAATAACATATACATCATAAAGTGTTAGAACATTTTCGAAAAGATAGCTGTGTACGAGGAGAAGCATTTTCGAACATCAAAATATTGAAATTTTTGCACAGCTCGAATAATATTTGAAGGTAACTAAGTTAAATAAAAATTATTTTAAGATCTGTAATTAGATCTGTTAGAATGTATTAGAGCATTTTCGATCGAAAGGACAGCTGTGCACGAGCACTAGCATTTTCGAACATCAAGGTATTGAAATCTTTTCATAGCTCAAATAATATTTGAAGTTCTACAATTAACTAAAAATTATTTTAAGATCTTTACTTATCCATAATATATACCTTGTTCGTGTTTTATGGTTGCATTACCAGCTTTACTAGCATGGAGCGAGAGTAGATCAGTGCATTGAGAATTTCTTTTTGAGTCGTTGTACGTTATATTAGATTCATTAGCTAATGTGGCTACAACATGTCTATTGTGTGCTATTTGTGCATCATTAAGTACTTGTTCCCTGCCTGCGCCAGTACTGGCACTTGATGATGATATTGTCGGTGAATGAATTGTTGTAGACACACAAGCTATATCACTGCTCAGTGAAGAGCGTTGCAATTGATGTACGTGATGATGGTTATTTGAGTGATGAATTTGTTGTTGAGTCTGTGTGCCAACCATTGCTGAATTTGAGTTATTATTATAAATTAATTTTGTATCGTTTTGTATTGTTTGTATGGAAATATTCTTTCTAGTGGTACCGCTATGATTCTTATGATTATTATTTAGAATATTTACATTCGATTGTAATGAGAAATTATTATTGTTACAAGCTGAGCCGTTGCTCGTTGTTGTTGTTGCTGTTGTTTTTGTTATACTTTCAGTTAATACGTTTGTTTGGTAACTAATTGGCTCGGTTAACAGATTTGTTGTAGTGGGTTTTGTTGATAATGCTTCTATTACCGATTTATTCGATATATTTTTGATTTGAGTTGAATTTGGATTATCACCTAAGTATAAACTATCTGATAAGTATTTTGTTAATTTTGTTTCAGCTGCACTATCATCTACTAATTCAGTATCATAACGTAAGCATTCAACGGAATTAGTGCGCTGCCCAAGCATAAGTGTGGGTATGGTATGAGTTTCTAAACTATTTGAACTTGATGAAGATGTAATGGACGTGCTCGATTGCTGTTGCTGTGGTTGTGTTTGATTTTTCTTCAACATAGGCATCATTACCTTTACATGCTGATCACTACAAAGTGCTGTTGTATTACTTTCTGAGGATGTCAATGTTGCAGGTTTTGTTATTTTCACGGTTGCCGTTGGAATGGGAGCACTATATGTGGTTTTTATATAACTAAATGGTATATATTCATGACGTTCTTGTTCTGGCGCTAAGTAATTATATTGTGATTGTTCTTGGATAGAACTCTCGAACAGCGTATTATAGGAAACATTAAATGGTGCTACAATTGAACTATCCTCGCTACCATCTACAGCTGTGGTAAATCGCTCACTATTTGCAGTAGACGCTGTGGACAGAGTTGATTCGCAGCTACCGCTATGTAGTTCTTGTTGACGTTCTAAACGTGCACCCGTATGTAACAGCAACTGTCGTGATACAGAACTTTTGGTTGCTATATCTGTTTCAGATTTGACATCACTTAAACAAAGAAGCTCAAGATCCTCTTCATCATCGTCGAATGAGTGTTGCCGTGCTAAGAATGATAAATTTGTGCCGACACTCTGTGAGGCAGTAAATGAACTTTGTGCTGTCAAAGGTGGTCTTGTACTACTACTCTTGGTGCGATAAAGTTGTGTTTTTATATTCTGTTGCGGATTTTGGTGTTGATAAGGATAGTTTTTGTTTAATAATACTGCTGCGCCTTGCTTTTGTGGAGTTGTAAGTGCAGCTAGTAGTATCGGTGCTGAGGTCAAATAACTTGGCAAAGAACTTTGTTGCTGTAGTTCACGATAGCTATTTGCTGTTGTTGTATCAAATCCACTCGCGTCTGTAGTAGCTGCTTTCTGTTGCTGCAACCAGTAATTATTCGAAGTTTCTATATAATCCTTATAGGTTGAGAAATGCGATAAATCAGGTATTGGTTCCTCTCTTGTAACGTCTTCTTCCAGCGAACGTGTGGCTACTTTTTTAGGCTTATGATAATAAATATTGGACTTATCATTCAACTGGGGAAATTCTATAGGCACACCATCATTGGATGTGCCAGCATAACTATAAAATGGAAATGAATGCTGATATTGGCTGCGCAAATCTGTAGCAGTGTTTAGACTACTATTATGTGGCCAACACTGTGTTCTCAGACGTCTCTTAAACTGATTATACAAAGCCGGTTTTTGTTCATCCGCAGTTTTTTGCTCTAAACTATCAACTTTATTGAAATCCTTATTATTAGCTATACGCTTCGCTGTTGCTGACACATCAAATAACGAACGAGTTACTAGTAAACCACGGTGTTTCTGCGCTTGTTGATTGGTGCTTGGTTCCAAATCATCTAAGTTCAATTCCTGATACAGTTCCGCTGGTGGTGGTGTGCCTGAAATTCGACCAGTTTTTTGAGATTTATGTGGATAATAAAGTTCTTGTTGTTGAAAATAAGCATAATTTGGACGTCGGTTCGTTAATAAAGAACTCGATGCTGGACTTACGGATTTAGTTATAAAACTTGTAGCACAGGTTGTGTTAACTGTCGTTATAGTCGTATCCTTTTTACTAGCTGATAATTGCTGATTTACTGCACTTGATTTTGCTAACGAAAAAACCGTTGCAGCTGGTATTATAAACTCTTTTGTTGTTTGAGTTTTTGCTACATCAGTTTTAGTTGTGCCCTCTCCATTTGCAGCTGCTTCCGTACCACTATTACTACTCGGAATATTACCATAAAAATTTCTACGACCGCATATGCCACTTAAAAGATTGAAACGCAATAAATTGGTAAAAATACGATTGTTTTGTTGTTTCGTTTCCTCTTCAGTGCTGTAGAGTATGTCCTTCGGATATATCTGACTTGATACCTGAGCTGTTG